AAAAAAAACAAAAAACATCCAATCACAGAGCTTAAGAGCAGAGTGAAGCTACAGATGTCAGTATTCAGTAACCATGGTGATGTGTTCTGAATTCACACCTCTTCTCTGTGGCAACAGCAGCTGAGGCTGATGGGTAATGTAGTGTCTCACCTGACTCAGGTGTCTGGAAGTGCAACCAGGGGGAGAAAGGAGACGCCCCCACCTCGTTCGCACAGGAGACCCTCACACTGTAGTTTGAGTGACTCCTGAGTCCTGACATCACCTGGAGGTGAGGAGGAACCTGAACCTCCTGCTGAGGGAGGTCCCACCTCCGGGCAGCCCGCCTCGACACCTGAGCAAGGGGGGTGGAGGAGAGAGAGAGGATGAGGAGCTTCAAAAACAGCTGAATTAAGTTCATAATTTGTGTGTGTGTGTGTATGTGTGTGTGTGTGTGTGTGTGTGTGTGTGTGTGTGTGTGTGTGTGTTACCTGGATGATGCAGGTGGACAGCTCAGAGTGACCTGTGAATCCTGGTCTCCATGACAACGTGACGTTGTTTTCCACCATCCTCAGGACCTGGAGTCCGACTGGAGCCGCTGGCAACACTAAACCCCGCCCCCAAACAGGCATCATCCAATAAGAGCTCAGCAGGTGTTTAATTAAACAGTTTGTACCTGTAAACTGTGTCACCCATAGTTCAGGTTCAGGTTTACAGACAGACCAGCAGATTTCCGGTGGGTTTCCATTAAACTGACTACAGACTGGTTCTGGCCCGTAGAACCAAAGACTGACTCTGGACCAGATTAAAGATCTACACCGCTTCAACAAAGACATGTGGACTAACTGGACCAGGTCCCCTGTGATCCCAGTGATCCCAGTGATCCCAGTGACCCCTGTGACCCCTGTGACCCCTGTGACTGGACTGGAGGGTCTTTACACTGCAGTGAATGAGGAAGTGTGCAGGTGTGCGAGGTGATGTCACTTCCTGTTCCTGTACCTTTACTGTGATCAGCTGTTCACATCCTGAAAAACTTGTACTAAGATCACAGGTATAGATGTCTTCCAGCCCACCTGTCTGAGCAGTGTGACGCTCAGTAGACGTTGCCGTTAGTGAACAGGTGAACAGGTAAACTCACCTTTAATGTGAACGGTACCGGTTCTGGAGACTGAGATCCCTCTGGCGTTCTTTGCTTCACAGTAAAACTTGATGCTGCTGTTCACACCTGCAGACAGAGAGTCAGTGATCACAGGTGAGTTAGTATCTGACGCCAGCTCACATCATCACACAGACTCAGGACAGACTGCACGAGAAACAGTGTGAAGTCTTTAGTACAGACGTGACCTCGTACAGATGTGACCTCGTACAGACGTGACGTTCATACAGATGTGACCTCGTACAGACGTGACGTTCATACAGACGTGACCTCGTACAGACGTGACGTTCATACAGACGTGACGTTCATACAGATGTGACCTCATACAGATGTGATGGAGACAGTTTTAGAGGCAAGTGTTCTTTCAACGCACAAATTCCTGAAAGACAACACCACACACTGACAGGAAACTGCATGCGTGTGCGTGTGTGTGTGTGTGTGTTGTTAATGCACGGTTTTCATTTCCCAGCTCATGTGGATCGTTCCATTTATAGTGGAAATCCATCAGAGAGAAGAAACCACAGGATCTATATGTATGCGTGTGTGTGTGTTTGTGTGTGTGTGTGTGTAACATAACTCCATTATAATGAGGTCATATCCCAGGAAGCTGTGACTAACAGCAGAGCATGAGAGGAGGCAGTAAATCTACAGAGTCACTAGTCAGGAAGTGATGATACTAGCCGAGGCTAGCTGGTTAGCATGCCACCTTCAGCAGAAGAAGAGTTAACACTGGCGTCTCAGTTGCTAATGCTAACATTAGCTATGTAGCAATATCTAACTTACATATAGCTCCTCACACACTCTAAAATCAGAAGACTCTCTGACCTTGGACGTGGAGGACGGAGGGGGACGATCTGGGCTCTCCCTCCAGGACCCCCCCCAGCCACCACAGCACCTCCACGGGCTCGGGGGGGCCGACCGCCACACAGGTGAGGTTGAAGGGCACATTGGGGAATGTGGCCACGTCCTGAGGCTCCTGGAGGAAGTGAGGGACACCTGCAGGAGATGGAGGGGTGTGTTCAGGGTCACAGCAGACTAAGAATACACAGACAGCTGCTGGAACAGCTGGAGGATTGACTGTGGTGCATTCAGGGTCCTTACCTTCCACAGTGATCCAGGCTCGTTCAGAGGAGAACGTCAGACCGTGGAACTCCACCTCACACCAGTACTGACCCGCATCCTGCTGCTGGACCGACTTCACACTGGAACCAAGAACACACAGAACCTTAGAACCTGGACCAGAACCAGAAAATGGACTGGAACTGGAAACTGAAACTAGACAGGAACCAGGATCACCCAGGACCAGAACCTGAACTGAGGAGATGATCCAAACACTGAAGGTCCGAAATTGATCAGATTAAATTATTGATTTGATCAGAATGAAACTGACCTGAGATCAGACTCTGATTCTGCTGCCTGAAGCTTTTCTTCTCTCTGCTGTTTCTCTGAGACTGTTTCTCTGACCTGTTTCCTTCCAGCTGCTGCTCACTGACTGAGACTGATCTGAGGTCAGGTTCTCAGACTTCAGTCTGACCTGATAGTTCACGTCCCTGAGGCCCTGGAGCTGGATCACTGCTGCAGAGGATTGTGGGAAAGAGATCTGCCTGTGTTTCTTCATAATAAAGACCTGCAGCAGAGACCGGTCCAGGTCCAAGTCCAGGTCCAGGTCCTGACTGTGGACATTTAACATGCAGCTCAAAGTGTGTGTTCAGCATCAACACTGTCCTGCATCAAAGGAGGAGGAGGGGGTGGGGGGGGGTGTTCTGCCTGTATTTACTGTTGATCTGCTGTTTAACCATCAAACAGTCCGCCCCCCCACCCCAACCCCCCTTGCACACAGAGGGGGTTTCTGACAAGAACCTGAACAACCGGACCCTGTGGTTACCATGGAGACCAAATACACCAGCAACCAGACTCCATGATATTTTTAGTAGTTTTAAGATAGTTATAAATAAAGGACACACCTCCTCTTCCTGCTCTCCATCACAACTCCTCTTGAGGTTTTGTTTCCTTCACCGATCACAGCTGAGAGCACCCCCCCACCCCCACTCCTCTTGAGGTTTTGTTTCCTTCACCGATCACAGCTGAGAGCACCCCCCCACCCCCACCCCCTCAAATAAAGGACACACCTCCTCTTCCTGCTCTCCATCACACCTCCTCTTGAGGTTTTGTTTCCTTCACCGATCACAGCTGAGAGCACCCCCCCACCCCCACCCCCTC